GGGGGGGGGGCAGCACCCACCTCTAACCCAGGCCGACGATGACGATGGATACCTCGATGGCGACAGAGCAAAGTGCCACTGATTGTATGGTATCATGACGCGATTGCATGGCAGTGCCAATCACCCCCCTCCCCTGTCTATCCCCATCCCCAACCCCACAGCCATCTCACACTGTCGGCCTCGGCAGGCTGCATGGCGCCGAACTGCCGTGAAGGAGGACGCGGTCACTCGACTCATCGCTGAGCTCATGGACGGCAGCGGACGACGGGGCGCACGACCGTCTGCTGCTAATCTCGGTGGCTTGCGGTTGCCGCTTGCTGTACACGCGAGCCCATCTGTCGAGCATGACCATGCGCTCGAGTTTGAGGAGGAGTCGCTTGCCGACATGGTGGCCGACTTTGAGTACCTGGACATCGAGGAGGCGACCACACGCGTGACTGCCGTGGGCAGAGCCACAGAAGCTGACGGAGCCCGGGTGCTGCGACTGCGATCTGGCGAGGATCTGGCGACGCTCATTGCCGATCGCCCTGCAGCCAATCGCACTCTGCCAGGGTCCACTGATCGCCTCGACACCGACCAAGTTCCTCTGGACGACGACGAGGTGCTCGAGTCACGAGCTGCTGCGGCCCTGGCGGCGCTTGTTGCTGACCACCCTGCAACCGCAGATTGCTCTGAGGCCGACAAAGTCGTGCTGGATGACAACTTGCCTCGGAATGATCAACGTCAGCTCGTTCCTGACGCCTTGCCCGAGTCCATTCTTGGCGGAGGCACCCTAGTTGGCGGCGTGTACCACCCGGTCGCGGCTGCAGAGCTTGTCATCGACAACTATCTGCCAAGCGGGAGGGTGACAATTATCAAGGGCCCGTCGTCAGATTCGCGGATGGAAGCACTCGGCTGCGCGGCGTCTGCCATCGACACAACCGAGCCGACCCTGGTTGAGCCGTTTACAGTCTCACCCGACTCGACACCACCACAATCGCCGCGGCCATGAGCTACCGCTGTTTTACCCTTGCTTCGCCTCAAACTTTCTGAACTTGTCAAGGACCTCGCCTCCCTCAGCGTCACGGTCGCCATCGCCGACGATGGCCGACCGCACTCGGCGCCACATGCTGCCGAGCCAGAGCCCAAACGCGACAATCGCGCCGCCAAGCTCGAGACCGGCCATTGTCCAGTGGTATGCGAACCAATCGCGCCAACCCGGTGGCGCGTACTCGCCGTTGCGGTAGAGGTACAGGCCAGAGATGGCGGCGCGGACAAAGACCCGGAACCGGTCGAGCGACGAGCCACCGAGACTTTTGTTGATCGAGCGGACAAGGTCCTGCGACCGGAATACCAGCAGCATGTCACGCGGCAAGTCCTCCAGAAACTTGAAGACTTCAGCAACTGAGGTTTTGCGCATGTCTTCACGCAGCTTGCGCGCTTCGTCCTCGGATAGACCGGCACCTGGTGCTGCGTCCTTGGATCGCGACCACGGCCGGTAGGTGAGAATAAGCGGAAAGATGAACTTGTACTGCGGGACGCCGAGCCCATCAGCGGCCTCGTCGAGCAGCTCACCATCATACGTCACTAGCGCCTTCCACAGCTTGCAATAATTGTGCCGGAACTCGTCGTCGAGCTCGCGATACAGCCCGTGGTCGAGGAGCACAAGATCGAGCGCTCCGGTCTCTGCGTTCTTGTGTACGAGCAGGTTACCGGCGTGTGGATCACAGTGGATAAAGCCAGTACAGAAAATCATCCGCGAAAAGGTATCAAGCAGGAGCTTTGTGAGCTGAGCCCGATCCACGCCCTGCTCCTCGAGCTGCGCCTCGTTTGAGATGGAGAATCCGTCCATGAACTCCATGGTCAGCACCCGCCGCGACGATGACGCCCACACAATGCCTGGGATGCGGACGTGTGGCATGTCCGCAAACGACGCCGCCACACGCTCAGCAGATTGCCCCTCGCGCACAAAGTCCAGCTCCTTGGCAATGTTCTCCTCCACCTCGGTGACGAGCCAGCCGAGCTCGAGATCCTCAAAGAAGAACGGCATGATCGACGCAATCGTCCGCATCGCCCACAAATCCGTTGTGATGAGATCCTCCAGCCCGGCATGCTGGACCTTGACTGCAACCCGCTGGCCGTCGTGGGTCACTGCCTTGTGGACCTGGGCCAGCGACGCCGCCGCAAACGGCTGCTCGTCAAACTCCGCAAAGAGCTCATGCGGCGAGGCCCCGAACTCGGCCTCAAACGTCCCCAGCACATCCGCCAGCTCCTTAAACGGCGCAGAGTCCTGAAGCACCCGCAGCTTGGAAGTCACCTGCTTGGGCACGCCCATCTGCATCGATGCCACCGTCTGTGCTGCCTTGATGTAGAAGCCCTGATTGGCCTTGCACAGCCCCAGCAGCCGCTCCGCCGTCCGTCCATGTACCTCCTCTCGCTTCGCAATGTATGCCTCCGTCCGATACTCCAGATCGTGCAGCGACCACTTTTGCCCATCGCCGGTTCCATGGCCAGTGCCATGGCCAGTGTCATTGCCGTGAGTTGCATCCAACATGTCAAGCTGACGCGACAACCCGCGTCCGCCCGGATGAGCTCAGCCTCGGCTCAACAAGCTCGCTCGGGCCAGGCATACAAGCTACATCTGCAACATCCAAACTGCAGCATCTTCTGTCACTCATCCATCCTATTGCCAACTCCCACTCTCGCAACCTGCCCGTACCTTGTAGTCGAGGCCGATGACCGCAGCGGTGGCAAAGGTGCGGACCGTGCGGGAGCCGCCACGGACCGCTACCCACACCTCATCGACATCGCCACCGGACGCAAGTACGCTGGCGGCTAGACTGCCAACAGCCAGCGATCCCACGCCAGCCACCACTGCGCTACCTCGCGCCAACCATCGCAGCATGTGATGGCAGTTTGGGGGACGGTGGCGACAAGTGTGGCGCTTTGGTGCCGCCTCCACTCGCCGGATAGTCGAACAGGCAGACTGTCACGCGCCTTGGTAGGGTGGCAGGATGCACTTTACTCTCGTCTCTCCTCCGCGATAGGTGTAGAAACGTTCGGCGCCGATCTAAATCATGGCAAGATCGGTACCGCGCCGCTCGCCGCCGTCGCTGCTCCAGTCACTGCCACCGCTGCAGCATGGACAACACGAGGAAATGAACTCACCGAATGACTTGTCATCGTCCGAGCTCTTCCAGGCGACCAAGACTCCGGCGATACACGCGATGCACGCCAGGACGCCAACAGCGATTCCCATGCCGAGCACAAGGCTGGAGCTGGACGAGTCGGAAGGAGACGTGTTGATACCCTGTGGGTTCGTCGATGGCTGGCGCGGCGACGCCGTAACCTCGACAGTAAACGCCGCACCCTCCGAGTTGGGAGCGACCCAGCGGAGCGACATGATCGACGTGGTCGGAATAAATGCCGGGGCCTGGCCAGAGCTCGCCGTGATACTCACATCGGCCTCGCCGCGACCATCCGGGCGATCAAACAGCTGCAGCACGCCGTACGCCGACGACTTGGTCGACCGCTGGATGGCGGCACGGACCGAGAGTACAACGTCGGAGACAGCCTCAATCTTAAAGACACAATCCTCGTCCGATGCCGACTCGGTGGCTGTTCCCACCTTGCCATGCTCAAACTTGAACACGCCCTCCGACGCCGTGATGTTGAAGAGCGTGATCTTGCCGGCACAGGCTGACTTGACCAGCTGCGCCTGAGGCAGCACATACACCGTCGAGAGAGCGCGGAGCGACGGAATGAGGATGTCCGCGAGGCCGTCGCCAGTCACATCGCCCACAAGCGCTGGCCCATACGCCCGCTGGTTGAGTTCGACAGGTGTCAAAAACGACGCAGCACTGCCAGTGCCCTCGATGATCCAGACCGAGCTCGCCTGAACGGTATCGATGGCGTCCTTCGTAAAGTTGGCCGGGTAGTTGTTGTCGACAAGGGTAAAGCTAAAGGTAGTGACAGCAATGTCGAGGATCGAGTCCTCGTTCAAGTCAGCAATGCCAAGCGACATGGCGTGCTCCAGGCTGCGAATAAACGTGCCGTCGCCCCACGCTGACGTCGCAGATGAGCTGATCGGCCCAGTGTTGACTAGAACGTACACGCCCCCCGCAACCTCCTCCTTGACAAACACAAGGTCGGTCTTGCCGTCGTTGTCCATGTCGCCAGCCGCGATTGTCCGACACTCTGTACCCGACGCCGAGAGTTCGAGGCCACCGGCCAGGATCGACACGCCACTTGTCCTACACACCGCGATAGAGATGGTGGTGTCCACGAGCTCGCCGGTGGCAAAGCCGCCGATGAAGCCACCCGTCGAGAGCCGATACGAAGTAAAGTTGAGCCCTCCCCGTTGATCCCGGTACCGATCACCGTGTCCGACGCATACACCACGTCCATCCACCCATCCTTGTTGAGGTCTACCGGCTCCACCTGCTTCCACACGTGCGGCGATTGCGGTCCCGGAACCGGGAGCACCCATCCTGCAAAAGGAAACGCAGTTCCGGTTGACGTCGTGCCGTTGCGTACAATAAGAAAGTCGTCTGAGCCGGCTGTCTTGCCCACAATCACATCCTGGTCCCCATCACGGTCGTAGTCGGCAGCAGCAGGAACAGGGTTTTGGTCGATCGATATTGTCCGGATGATGGTCGAGAACGTGTCATCGCCACTGTTCTCGATCCATGTCAGCGAGTCGCCACAGCCCATAAGAACGTCAACGTCACCGTCGTTGTTCATGTCCGCAAGTGCGAGTCGCCCGTTGTAGCCACTGCAGGCAGCCGTCACAAACTCGGAGGTCCTCGGAAAGTGGTCGCGGACAGAAGCCCCCATGCCGAGGCTCACAACGCCCAGAAGCACAACCGCCACCACACTCACCTCGATTGAGGCGTACATATTTGCCTATGAGTCCACTTTGGTTGTGTGAGAGAGCTATGGTGAGTGCCAACGATGACGGGGCAAAACCTCCTACAAAACGAGCGTTCCGCCACTCTCGTTGCTGTTGGGCAGCGGTGGCAAAAGCTGCCAACATGGTCACAGACCCGATGCAGCGCGCAGCTAGGCCAGCCAAGCCTCGGTGACAACCACGCCGGGTGGATCCAGGGAGGCTGCAAAGGTCACAGCTTCGTCGCTTTCTGTGGGGGTTGCAGCGTTCGGGACCAACACCACGTGGCGACCACCTGGGCGCGGTTGCGGAAGGGTGGCGGGGCTTTTTCCAACTACACTCCCCTCGCCGCGAGGCACCACGATCGACGCCCGCATCGTTCCGGACATGGTCGCAAACCGGGTATGGACGACATCGCCACGTGTTAGGCCAGGAAGCAGATAGTTGGTCGATGGGCCTGGCTGCTCCAGCTTTGGCGGCGGAGTGGGACTCGCCTGCGGCGCAATCACCTTTCGGCTTTGCTGCGGCTGTCGGCCAGCGGTGCGACGCCGCGCGTAGTAGTAGACCACGACGTGCCGACCAGCACCGCGGACAAGCGTCTTGCGTAGCAGGCGCTCGGTGCCGTACCAATTAAAGCCAGCCTGGCGGGCGCCAACCCGCGGGGTATGGATGGTGGCGCCGAGGAGCGAGGCAGCGCGGCCGAGTTTGACAAGCGCCTGTTCGAGAGCGGACATGACAAGGACTGGCGCCCGCGACAACGCCGACGGCGTCGGCCTTTGCATGCCGACAACCAGCGCGGCCCAGACCGGCCGCGCGCCAAACGTTGTCGTCAGCGCCGCACTTCGTGCCACCATCCCGGGCAGTCGCAGCTCAACAGGTGACTGCAGATATAGGTCCGAGGCCGTTGCAACCGAGCCCCGCCACGCCGCCTCGTTGAGCGGCACGAGCAAGGTGTCGCCAAGATGGAGATCTTTGGCGCTTGCAGCCCAGGAGTAGATGTTCTGCGGCGCACGCGCAAGCCGGGTAAAGAGCGAGAACAGGCCACGACTCGGCCACTTGCCCGAGTTGTCACAGCAAGCAACAACAATGGCCGGCTCATCGGCGCCGCCATTGCCCACCTCTTGTGGCTCGAGGACCGAGCCCACAACAAAGTGGAGGTCGGGACGCGAGGCGAGCTCGTCGTCACTGTCGCTTGTGGTATCAAGCGGGCCAGAGTGCTCGGTTGGCTCAAGCAAGCTGAACGAAGCATAGCGCATTTTGGTCCAGCGCGCAGCGGTGCGCTTTGCGGCGGCTTCGCGCTTGGCCACGGCCCGAGCCCTTGCGGCAGCCACGGCCTCGGCCTCTTCGTCCGAGTAAGTCTCGTCCGAGTCGCCATAGTCCCATGAAGCATGTGCAGAGCGAGTTCGCTTGCGTTTGTGAGAGGTGCGCTTGCGCGGGCGGGAGCCAGCAGAGGCCGCGGCCTCGTTGGCCACCAGCTGTGCCAGCGCGTCGCGGTCGGTCGCCGATGTCGTCGACACTCCAGCGTAGTCGACGCCTTCGAAGGTGTACATCGACGGGGCCGGAGCACTGGACGATCCGGCCGCGTCGGCAATGCGGGCGGCACCGGGCGGCAGCTCGTCCTGAGGTCCCGCATCAAGAAGGGCAGCGAGCTCCTGCTCACCAAGGCCAGCCAATTCGATGGTACTGGGCTCATCGTCGGCCTTGACAGCAGCGAGGACCTTGGCAGCTCCGTGGGCAGCAAACCGGGCCAGCGATGTCGCGGGAGGCCGGTTCTCGGCGCCGGTCTCGCCGATGACAGCCTCGGCGAGCGCGAGCTTGCGTGTTGCGCGTGCCACCATGACCTCGTCGATGGTGTCACGGACGACAAGACGGAAGACTCGGACCTGTGCGGTCTGGCCCATGCGATGGACCCGGGCGATGGCCTGGAGATCCATGTGTGGGTTCCAATCCGAGTCGTAGAAGATAACAGTGTCGGCCTGCGTGAGATTGAGGCCGACACCGCCAGCGCGAGTAGAGAGAAGAAAAACAAAGGTGTTCGAAGTGTCGGAGCAAAACGCCCGCAGCGCCTGGTACCGCTCCTCGGCTCGGACCGAGCCATCGAGCCGCTCGTACGAGAATTTGCGCATGTTGAGGTAGTCCTGCAAGATGTCGAGAACACGCGCCGACTGCGAGAAAACTAGCACCCGATGGCCGCGCGGCTTGAGCGCCTGGAGCAGCTTGTCAAGGAGCGTCAACTTGGCTGCGTTCTCCACAAGATGTTCACCCTCCTCGAACGGCTCAGGCTCAGCGCCCTCAAACAGATAAGGGTGGTTGCACGCCTTGCGGAGCTGCATCACTACATTGGATGAGAGCGATGCGCGGACAGCGTTTGTCCGTGACGGGTTGAGCGAGGCGACCAGCGAAGACGCATCCTTGGCAAGGATGGCACGGTAGTAACGCGCCTGCATGTCAGTCAGCACGGTGTGGAGGACATACTCGGTCTTTGGAGGAAGTTCGCTCAGCACCTGGCTCCGGACTCGCCGCAGAAGAACCGGTGCAATGGCAGCCTGGGCCTCGGCAGCGGTGAGTGAGGCAAAGGCATCGAGCTCAGGCATCGACGCCACGGGTTGCGTCTGGTCATCGAGAGCTGCCGGGGCGGCAAAGCTATCGTCTGACGTCCGCTTTGCCGACGGTACGTTGGTGAGCGGAAACTGCGATGGGGCCACAAAGTGCAAGAGCACGTACAGCTCAGCCATGTTGTTCTGGAGCGGAGTACCGGTGAGGATGAACGACGGGATTAGCGACGACGACCGAAAGACTGCGTTGTACAGAGCAGCGACACGCGAGGTCGGCGACTTGAGCCGATGGCCTTCGTCGAAAAAGGCAATGACAGTGTCCATGGCAGCAGCCAGTCGGCGGCCGTCGCCGAGGATCATCTCGTACGAGGTGACGACCAAACCGGCAGCCGGTAGCTCCGTCGCCAGCATCTCGTCTCGAGACTCGCGCGAACCGTGAAAGACGACAACTGGCAAGGTCGGGAAGAACCGCGCGGCCTCTGTAGCCCAGTTGTTGAGGGTGGAGAGCGGCGCTACGACCAAGATGTGGCCTCTGACACCGCTCTGCTGGACTCTCGCCACGCCCGTCGCCAACGCCTGCAGAGTCTTCCCCAGTCCCATATCGTCCGCGAGTAGACCGCCCGAGCCAGCGCTTGCCAAAGCCTCCATCCATACCACACCCTGCCTTTGATGTGGCCTCAAGGCCATGCCTGGTGCCAGAGGAAATGCTGTGGACATAGCGGGGTGGCGGCCAAGTCGAGTGGTGTCGCCGCCACACGCCCGACCGCCTCACCACCGGTCGAGCCAAGCGCAACAAGAACAGGCTGGAAAGGGGGGAATCGATGATGGGTTGCGCATCCGTGTGAGATGCTGAGGAAGATGAGTGGTAGGAGGTGTATAAGGCGAGGTGTTTGTGGAGGCGCGAGCTCTGTATCGCTCTACATCGCTCTGCATCGCACCCTAAGCTGCTGGAGCTGATGAGTTCAAGGGTACGAGGCAGACGGATCTTCGAGTTAGTTGTGGTAAAACGGGGCGTGATCAGTGACTCGGTGGGGCTTATGATGTGGTGGAGAGGCTTGCAGCTTGCGATTGGCAGTAGCCTCGATGTGGGTGGCCGAAAGGTAGGGCGGGGTGAGGGGCGAGGTGAGCCAGTTCTGGCGTAACACCACGTGTCGCTCTGACGAGCTGTTCCCGGGCTAGTTCGGCAGGTAGCCGAGCCATGGCGAGCAAGAGCCCAGTCATCCGTGAGGGCTGGCTGACCAAGCAGGGTATGCATGTTGTGATGTGCCGCATGGTCAAAGGTGGGGTTTGTGGAGGTGCGGGAAGGCTCTTGTCGGTGGTCGGTGGTCGGTGGACTTGTGGTCGGTGGCTCAGTTTGGCACGTAGCTTGGGACGGGCGCAACTCATGAAGCAACTGTGGGTGGTGGTGGTGGGCATGGCTGGTGGGGCATGGGGTGTGGGGACGTAGGGGGGAGGGTGAAGACATGGAAGAGGAGGTGGTTCGTGTTGAGGATGGGCAGTCTGACGTACTACAAGTCGAACAAGGAGAAGCACCTGGCAGAGGCCATTGCCACGTTGCCGCTGAAGAATGTGGGCTTTCGGGCCGAGGTGGATGATCCGCGGGAGCATGCCTTTGAGCTGTACTCGGCGACTGGCAAGCCGATACATGGTAATCACATGTGCTATCTACTCGCGGCAGAGGATGCTGAGAGCAAGGACGGGTGGGCCAAAGATCTGGGCGACGTTGTCTCCATCGCCGAAGAGGAGCGACTGATCTCGAACCTGCGGCTGCGCGGCAAGACGGTGCAGCGAGAGCGGCAGACATCGACGACGTCCAAAATGATGTTTACCGGTGAGCCCAAGGTCGATGCGGTTATGTCGACGGTGCACAAGACCAAGTCGCCGCTGTGCAAGCTGGTGTCGTGCAAGCTCCGGGTTGTGCCCAAGTCAGTGCTGACCTTCAAGTGGCTGCTCGAGCTCGACCTTTCGACGAATCAGTTGAAAGAGCTGCCGCCGGAGATTGGCAAGCTCACTGCGCTGCAGAGCCTCAACGTCTACCGCAACCAGATCCGCAAGCTACCGCCTCAGTTGAGCAAGTGCACCGGTCTACAGAGCCTCAATCTGCTCCGCAACTCGCTGGTGGAAGTGCCGACGTGTCTCTATCAGCTGCCAGCGCTCACCGAGCTCAATCTCGGCTCCAACTCGCTCTGTCGACTGGAGGCTGCCGACGGCGGATTCGGCGAGGCTGAGGCTTACCCTTGGCCGCGGCTGACCTCACTCGACGTGTCGAACAACCGGTTGACGGCGCTGCCAGACGCAGTGGGCAAGCTGACGGGGCTAGTCGTCCTCTCTGCATTCCGCAACCGGCTGACGAGCCTACCGTCTTCGGTCGGGCAACTGACGGCGCTGCGAACGCTCAATCTGGCGTTCAATGAGCTGAGCACGCTACCGTATGAGCTTGGCTTCTGCAGCTGGACGACCTGGAGCTCGAGTCAAACGCGATTGTGGAGCCACCGCAGGAGGTGGTAATGCGTGGCAAGGTTCACATCCTGCGGTACCTGCGGACGAATGCGCCTGACCTCAACGTGGGGCTGTGCTCCATCCGAGGGCTCGGCACGACTGCCGCCGTGGCCGGCATTCCTGCGCGAGTCATCATTGTTGCACGCAACGATTTTGGGCAAACGGTTACAGCGCATGGACAGCACTTTGAGCTGCGACTGACGCGCGTGGGAGACCTGGACGGGCCGCGCGCGCAGCTCTCGCCGCCGACAAATGGGCATGATCAGGTGAGTCTGATGGGCTCGGTGACGGAGACGGCTGGAGTGTACGAAGGCAGCTACACAGCGTCGGTGACCGGCATGTACGAGCTCTCGGTCACGTCGCACGGGACGCATGTCACAGGCTCGCCGTCGATGGTGCGTGTGGAGGCTGCGCCGGTCTCGGCGTCGATGTGCCGGCTGGGAAATCCTGGAGTGCTGGCCTCTGTCCGTGGCGGTGAGCTGTCCAAGCTTGTTGTTGTGGCGTACGACGCGTTTGACAACCGGGTGACCCAGGGCGGGCTGGTCTTCGAGGTCGACATTTCCGGCCCACCGCCGCTTACGGGCAAGGTCATCGATTACGAGGATGGCAGCTACGTGGTCAAGTTTATGGTTGGCGGCGGCGGTGACTACTCGCTCGGTGTGACGCTCGATGGCGAGCACATTCCGGGCTCGCCGTTTCTCTTCTACGCGCATGCAGGCAACGATGGTGGCGCGGCAGCGCCGGGCGCGACACACGCCGAGCCTGCGGTGGCCAGCTCGCCAGATGCGCAGGCAATCCTCGAAATGTCGTTCGAGGAGCTATTGCGCGATGAGCAGGCGCCCGGTGAGAGCGCTACCAAATCAGCGGATGCAGAGCTGCTGCAGGCGCTGGAGGCGGCCATTGTGGAGGCTGGGACCTCTGTCTCACTCGACCAGCTGCTGGAGCCGACCGGGCCGGCGTCGTCGTTCGTCTCGCTCCTGCAGGCGGCGACGGAGTCGAACGTCGATGCCGACGCCCAGGCTCAGGCTGTCATCGACGAAGCCATGAGCAGCAAGGGTATTGTCGCGCGAAAGGACTCGACGGCGTCGCTCAAGCGGCTCTCTACGCTGCTTCAGCAGCTGCGCGAGCATCCCCCGACGCAAGGCGACGCCGACGAGGTGGGTGCCTGCATCCGTCAGTTGCAGGACAAGATTTTGCAGGCTGTCGACAGTACCGGGGATGATGTCGAGGTTCTAGTCGAGGCTGTGGCTACTCCTGATGCCGAGACCAGTGTCGACATGACCGAGAACAATGTCAAGGCTGCTGATGGTCAGGTGCAGGCCGAGGCTGTGTCTGTGGCTTGCGACTTGATTGCTGTCGGCGACAGAGGAGAAAGTGGCGCCGAGGCCGAGGCTGCCTCTGCCGCCGCTCCTGTCGCCGCTCCTAGTGATGAGGCCAAGGGCGGGGTTGAAGTCGAGGCCTCTCCAGCTGCAAGCAGCGATGCACCCGTCAACGATGACGTTGATGCAGCTGACCCCTCTGTCGACAAGGCCAAGAACGTTGCCGAGGCCAATACCGATGCAGTCGTCAACGATGACGTTGATGAAGCTGACCCCTCTGTCGACAAGGCCAAGAACGTTGCCGAGGCCAATACCGATGCAGTCGTCAACGATGACGTTGATGCAGCTGACCCTTCTGTCGACAAGGCCAAGAACGTTGCCGAGGCCAATACCGATGCAGTCGTCAACGATGACGTTGATGAAGCTGACCCTCTGTCGACAAGGCCAAGAACGTTGCCGAGGCCAATACCGATGCAGTCGTCAACGATGACGTTGATGAAGCTGACCCCTCTGCCGATAAGGCCAAGAACGTTGCCGAGGCTGAGACTGCAGATGATGCCGAAGCGCAGAGCGAGGCTGTGCCTATGGATTCAGACTTGGCTGCTGCCGCCGCCAAGGCAACGAGTAGTGGTGAGGCCGAGGCTGCCCCTGCCGCCGCTTCCTTCAACCTCGCCCTTGGCGATGAGGCCAAGGGCGAGGTTGAAATCGAGGCCTCTCCAGCTGCAAGCACCGATTCACCCGTCAACGATGACGTTGATGCAGCTGACCCTTCTGTCGACAAGGCCAAGAACGTTGCCGAGGCCAATACCGATGCAGTCGTCAACGATGACGTTGATGAAGCTGACCCCTCTGTCGACAAGGCCAAGAACGTTGCCGAGGCCAACACCGATGCAGTCGTCAACGATGACGTTGATGAAGCTGACCCCTCTGTCGACAAGGCCAAGAACGTTGCCGAGGCCAATACCGATGCAGTCGTCAACGATGACGTTGATGAAGCTGACCCCTCTGCCGATAAGGCCAAGAACGTTGCCGAGGCTGAGACTGCAGATGATGCCGAAGCGCAGAGCGAGGCTGTGCCTATGGATTCAGACTTGGCTGCTGCCGCCGCCAAGGCAACGAGTAGTGCTGAGGCCGAGGCTGCCCCTGCCGCCGCTCCCTTCAACCTCGCCCTTGGCGATGAGGCCAAGGGCGAGGTTGAAATCGAGGCCTCTCCAGCTGCAAGCACCGATGCACCCGTCAACGATGACGTTGATGCAGCTGACCCTTCTGTCGACAAGGCCAAGAACGTTGCCGAGGCCAATACCGATGCAGTCGTCAACGATGACGTTGATGAAGCTGACCCCTCTGCCGACAAGGCCAAGAACAATGTCAAGGCTGCTGATGGTCAGGTGCAGGCCGAGGCTGTGTCTGTGGCTTGCGACTTGACTGCTGTCGGCGACAGAGGAGAAAGTGGCGCCGAGGCCGAGGCTGCCTCTACCGCCGCTCCTGTCGCCGCTCCTAGTGATGAGGCCAAGGGCGGAGTTGAAGTCGAGGCCTCTCCAGCTGCAAGCAGCGATGCACCCGTCAACGCTTACGTTGATGCAGCTGACCCCTCTGTCGACAAGGCCAAGAACGTCGCCGAGGCTGAGACTGCAGATGATGCCGAAGCGCAGAGCGAGGCTGTGCCTATGGCTTCAGACTTGGCTGCTGCCGCCGACAAGGCAACGAGTAGTGCCGAGGCTAAGGCCGTCACCGCACCTGCTGCTGTTGATACAGAGACTAAGGATGTGCCCAAAGTTGAGGATGCTGGTGGTGACGTCAAGAACGCCGCATCCTCCTCTGTCGCGAACACCAGTACTCATGACAACTCGTTGCTCACGACGCCGACCTCGAACGAGCTTGCAGCTGTCGCTGATTCTCCATCTGCCGAGGCCGTGTCTGGTCCACAGAGCGTGTCTGACGAGGCCACAAGCTCCAGCAGTGAGCCTGTCGCCGACCCGGCAGCACTCTCGTTCAAGGCCAAGCTTGCTCTTTTCAAGCAGATTGAGTCTTCGGTGACAACCTCCGCCCCGCACCGTCCGCGCATTGTTCCGCCGTCGTCGCATATCGCCAGGAAGCACCACCCGAAGAAGAGCCCATCCAAGGGATGACCCTCGCACGAGTCGGTAAAGGGCAACCTGGCGGTAATCCCAAAAAAAAATATTAGCCGGGACACGCTTCACCCCCCGCACCTGGCAACGTTACGTTCTCGGAACAGGTCAGCCTCGACTACCAGCGGAGCCACATACCCCTCCCGACCAAAGACCCTGACGAAAGCCAACCAGACGCCCACTGCCCCAGCGTTACCTGTAGCAGGGCGACCAAGGACTGGTGTGCACGTCAGAGACGGAAGCAAGCCAGAATGACCTCGCGGGAGTCGTTTGCCCTCCACCGCGCCCCGCTGTGGGCCGAGGTGTATGTCCGCGGGAGCGAGCTCGTCAATCTGGACACGTTTTCGCTCTCGGATCCTGTGGCGTACATGTACATGGCATCATCCACCACAGGCAAGTGGGTCGAGGTGGGACGGACAGAGGAAGTGCGTGATGATCTCAATCCGACCTGGCGCACTACCTTTCTGGTGCCCGTCAAGCCCAACATGGAGGCCAAGTTTGTGGTGTGGGACATCGACAAGCAGACCGACAATCTAGAGGATCAGGATCTCATCGGAGAGATCAACATCAATCTTCGCCCACTCGTTGTCCGGGACCAGCCGTGTAGCTACACAGGCGAGCTCATCTGTGACGACAAGCCCGGTAGGTTCAATGGCTACTTTTCCGTCACTGTCGTCGCCATCCAGTCACCCGAGGCGAGCAAGGCCGTCTCCAAGTTTGTGCGCGCCCGCAAGCTGACCGGCGAGGATGCCGATTCCCAGGTCCTCTCCTCCTTTGACTGGTTCAAGGTCATCCGTAAGTTCCACCTCTCGGTTCTCGGGCCCATTCCGTCGTCGGCAAAGTCGGTCAAGTCGTTCTCCGGCCATGCCTTTGTGAGGTGGCTCGTAAGGCACGTCATTGCTACCGGCCGCGTCCGCAACAAGGCCAAGGCCATGGCCCAGTTTCTTCTTGATGTCAACATCATTGACAACACCCACATCAAGGTCTTCTCCTCATCTAAGGAATCGTACTACGTGTTTAACCCCTACTTTCTGCGCACCTCGTTCAAGGCCTCGGTCATGCAGCCGCGGTACAAGCTCAACGCCGACGTCTACCGCTCGTTTGCCTACAACACTGAGACGCCTATCTTTGTCGACGAGCTCGACGCCCAGGCTCTCCTTCCCTCGCACCTCAAAGACTCGCCGTCGATCCGCTTCGGTGTCCTAGAGCCCGACGCTGCCTTTCCACCGGTCATGGCCGGCACCCTCAAGGCGCTCGTCACCCGCATGACCCACCCGCAGTCACCGGACGACGAGCTCGTCAACATTGTTCTCTACACTTATCCGCGTTTTCCACCGCCTCACAAGTCGTGACCACCCTCATTGCCCGCTACCAACGGACCTTCGACCGCGAGGCTGCGCTCGAGGCTCCGTCTAATGCCGCTGCCCCGACGCAGCAGGCATCGACTCGGGCGACTCGACTCCATCCGGTGACTCGGCCTCGGGCTCGGCCTCGGCTTCACCCTCACCACCAACCTCGGACGTCAATGCAGACGACAGCGCTGCATCGTCGTCGCTTGCCACCACCGATGCCGTGACAGGCGCGAGCCCCAAAGTCGCTGCCGCCGCCTCGGCTGCTGCATCCCGCATCCGCGCCAAGGGCGGCCGCACCGTCTCGCGCGTCTCATCCGAGGCCGCCGCCTCGGCCGCCGCCCGCCATCGAGAGCACCTTGCCCTCATTCGCATCCGCGTCCTCCGCATCCTCAAGAAATGGATTCAGCTCGAGGACGGCTGGTTCGGCGCCACCCGCGTCGGTGAGCCGTGGGAAGCGCCGGCCGTCGAGGTTCCCTCAGCCTCGCCGGCAGCTGTCCTGTTGCGGGATTTTCTCCGCGAGGTCGCCGGCGGTGGTTGCCACGGCCCCGGCCTTGCCCGTGTCGCGTCCTCGCTCCTCCGCTCGCTCGACACACCCTCAACAGACTCGTCGGCCGGCATGGTTCGTCGCTTCCATTCGGCGCGCTCGCTCTCGATTGCCGATGAAAGTCGGACAGCGCGAGCCAACTCGGGTGGAACCTCACCCAAGAGTGGATCTTCGCCCGACACCCGCTGGCGCCGCAAGCAGACCGGCTCGCTCACCTCGCGAGGCGAGGCTGACCCTAACGCGCCGATCCTTCCCACAGGCCTCACTCTTGTCGCCGAGACCATGCCCGCAGGTATGGCGCTGACCGACATCGACCCGCTCGAGCTTGCCCGCCAGCTCACGCTTGTCGAGTACTCGCGCTACATGCTCGTCGAGCGGAGCGAGCTGCTCAACTTGCGGTTCTCCAAAGACGCGCGCGAGATCAACGCGCCCAACGTCGCCGCCCTCATCGCCTCGTTCAACCACGTCTCGTGCCTGGTTCGCGACACCATCTTGGGCGCATCGGAGCTCTCTGCGCGCGTTGCTACCGCCGAACACTTTATCCTCGTCGCCACCGCTGCCCTTGTCGAGTTCTCCAACTTTTCGCTCGCTATGGCGGTGCTCTCCGGCCTCAACGCGTCGCCGGTTCATCGGCTCAAAGCCACGTGGGAGCTGCTGGGCAAGCGGCGCAAGACCATGGCGCATCTGCAGCAGATGAAGGTTATGCTCTCCCATAACGCCAACTACAAGATGTATCGCAAGGCGCTCGCCGAGTCGGCTCCGCCCTGCGTCCCCTATCTCGGTATGTTCCTCTCGGACCTGACCTTTGCCTACGACGGCAACCCGTCGCTTGTCCACGACCCGCCGCTCATCCACGTCCAGAAGTTCCGCGTCGTCTACAAGGTCTTGCTTACCATTGCACGGTACCAGAAGCCTGCTGGCTACAATTTTGTTGTGCCTGTCCGCGGCCTCCAGACCCACCTGCGCACCCTCATGGAGGCCTGTCTCAGCGACGACGAGGCCTACGCCCTCTCGCTCAAAATCGAACCGCGGGTCAAGCGCCAGCCGCCGTCGCTGGCGGTCTTGCAGGACGAGAACGACGAGCTGAAGGACCGCGTCGGTGTGCTCGAGAACGCGCTTGCCCTCTCTCGCGCCGAATACGCCTCGCTGCAGACCCAGGTCGACTCGCTAACCGAGATTGTCCGCAGGCTCACCGAAGCCTCGGCGTCGATGGAGGTCCCGGACTCGGCGACTCTCCTCGACTCGCTCACTGAAGAAGTCATGGATGAGTCCGAGGCGCTGTCGTACGAGCAGGTGCTTGCCGGCGGCGGTGCGAGTAGCCGGCGCAAGCATGCCATCGATGACGAGCTCGACGAGGCCGAGCAAGCCGCAGTGGATGCTGCTGCCGTCGAGTCTGCAGCGTGCGACGCGGACCATTTGGCGCCGGAGAGTGACTCGGAGTCGGGCACCCACGAGCTGGCCGATGCTGCCGCACCGCCTTCGTCGAGCTCTTTGGATGCGGGCGACGACGCCACCAACGACGCCACCAACAGCGCCGCTCACGACGCAGATGACCACACCAGCGTTGACGGACTGCCGAAAGCGTCCAAGGCACGGAAGCGGCAGACGATGTGGACCGAGCGGGGCGATGCCGATTCTGGGGAGGAGGTCTACACCACTATCTCGACCAATGTCCCACTCCCAGTCTCGTTCCCGCTCCCGTCGGCGCACTCGTTCTCGAACCCTGTTCGCGTCGGTGTGCTCAGGAAGAAGGGCGCATTGTCACGGTGGCAGTCGCGCTTTGTTGTTGTGGACCAGAACCACCTGTTCTACTACAAGAAGGACTCGGATGCCGAACCTGTGGGCATTGTCTGGCTCCGCGGCTACGTCGCACATCCGTCGTCGATCGGCAAGAAGCCCGCCGTCAAGCTCGACCACCCCACCCTCCGCATCTACGAGTTCCTCACCACCTCTGCCGCCGATCAAGTCGAATGGGTCTCGGCCATCAACTCTGCTGCATCGTAGCTACTCCATCCCTTCCATCCATACACCCACCCAAGCCCACCCCCATCCAATTGATCGGCGGCTGCCTTTCGCCGCCCCCCCC